TATTAGCTAGACACTTGCACTGCATTATTAGCTAGACACTTGCACTGAAATTCCATTCTTTGAAAGCCTTACTCTGCTTGTCTTGTGTTCAGAATTGTGAGATGACTAAAGTACCAAATGCCTGCGGCGGCCCAGAAATAAAATCAGTTAATTGGTATTGATCCCTTCCTCCGTCTCTCCATGACTTCCACTTCTGGCAATAGCATCCAAAATGATTTTTTTTAATTTAAAAAATATTTTCCCCACATCCTTAAAATATTTCCTATTTGTTGGAAATTTCAATTTTTTATGATAGCATATGTTTAAAAGTCATATGGATTTCTTTTTTTAATTGGTATTTTCTTTATTTACACTTCAAATGTTATCTCCTTTCTTGATTCCCCTCTCACCCACAAAACTGCTTATCCCACCCCCTACCCTGCTTCTATGAGGGTGTTTCCCCCACCCACCCACTCCCGCCTGCCTGCCTACACTGCCCTTGATGCCCTACACTGGGGCATCACGCCTTCGAAGGACCAAAAGCCTCTCCTCCCATTGATGTCCAACAAGGCCATCCTCTGCTACATATGCAGCTGGACACATGGGTCCCTGCATGTGTACTCCTTGGTTGGTTTATTCCCTGGGAGCTCTGGGGGTTGCAGGATCTGGTTGGTTGATATTATTTTCCTTCCTATGGGGTTGCAAACCACTTCAGCTCCTTCAGTCCTTTCTCCTCCAATGGGGACCCCATAGGGAACCCCGAGCTTAGTCCAATGGTTGGCTGTGAGCATCCACCTCTTTATTTGTCAGGCTCTGGCAGAGCCTCTCAGGAGACAGCCATATCAGGCTCCTGTCAGCATGCACTCTTTGGCATCCACAATAGTGTCTGCGTTTTGTGACTATATGGGATGAATTCCCAGGTGGGGCAGTCTCTGGATGGCGTTTTCTTCAGTCTCCTCTCCACATTTTGTCTTCATATTTGCTCCCATGAGTATTTTGTTCCCCTTTCTAAGAAGGACTGAAGCACCACACTTTGGTCTTCCTTCTTCTTGAGCTTCATGTGGTCTATGAATTGTACCTTGGGTATTCCAAGCATTTGGTCATATCCACTTATTAGTGAGTGGATACCATGTGTGTTCTTTTGTGATTGGGTCACCTCACTCAGGATGATATTTTCTAGTTCCACCCATTTGCCTAAGAATGTCATGAAGTCATTGTTTTTAATAGCTGAGTAATACTCCATTGTGTAAATGCACTACCTTTTCTATATCCATTCCTCTGTTGAAGGACATCTGGGTTCTTTCCAGTTTCTGGCTATTATAAATAAGGCTGCTATGAACATAGTGGAGCATGTGTCCTTGTTATATGTTGGAGCATCTTCTGGGTATATGCCCAGAAGTGGTAATACTGTGTCCAATTTTCTGAGGAACCACCAGACTGATTTCCAGAGTGGCTGTACCAGCTTGCAATCCCACCAACAATGGAGAGTGTTCCTCTTTCTCCACATCCTTGCCAGCATCTGCTGTCACATGAGTTTTTTATCTTAGCTATTCTGACTGATGTGAGGTGGAATCTCAGAGTTGTTTTGATTTGCATTTCCCTGATGACTAAGGATGTTGAATATTTCCTTAGGTGCTTCTAGGCCATTTAGTATTCCTCAATTGAGAATTCTTTGTTTAATTCTGTATCCCATTTTTAATAGGGTTGTTTGATTCTCTGGAGTCTAACTTCTTGAGTTCTTTGTATACTTTGGATATTAGTCCTCTATCAGAAGTAGGATTGGTACAGATAGTTTCCCAATCTGTTGGTTGCTGTTTTGTCCTATTGACAGTGCCCTTTGTCTTACAGAAGCTTTGCAATTTTATGAGGTCCCATTTGTGATCTCAGAGCATAAGCCATTGGTGTTCTGTTCAGGAATTTTCTCCCTGTGCTCATGTGTTCTAGGTTCTTCCTCTACTTTCTCCTCTATTAGTTTCAGTGTATCTGGGTTTATGTGGAGGTCCTTGATCCACTTGGACTTTAGCTTTGTACAAGGAGATAAGATTGGATCAATTTGCGTTCTTCTACATGTTGTCCTGCAGTTGAACCAGCACCATTTGTTGAAAATGCTGTCCCTTTTCCACTGGAAAGTTTTAGCTCCTTTGTCAAAGATCAAGTGACCATAGGAGTGTGGGTTCATTTCTGGGTCTTCAATTCTATTCCATTGATCTTCCTGTCTGCATTGATCACAACCATTTTCCACGACCTCACACCTTTTCTGCTTGTGCCCCACACCATCTCCCTTACAACTTAATGTTCTCCTTTTTAAAATTCTTATTACCACAAATCCAATTAGTGCTGTCCTTATGCATATTGATGTGTGGCTAGCCACTGGGACCGGGGAAACCTACCAGCAGCCACATTTCCCAAAGAAAGTGAGTGACTGCTTCTTCTTCAGTAGCCATCAACTTCCAATAGCTCCTGACTGGCTTTATCCTGTGCAGTTTATGAGCAGATAAACACAATCCTGGGAGTTGTGTGACAGTCATGCCATGTCCTGATGTCAGCAACTCACACCTTTCCTTCACATCTGCTACTGGATCTTCTTTTCTATCCTCTGCAAGGTTCTGTGAGCTGTGGATAGTGGAAGTTGGTATAGGTGATCTGTCCACGGCTGAGTACTCAGAATTTTTTATACTTAGTACTTTGATAAATTACAGTTCTCTGTCTTACCCACTATTTATTGTGAAAAGAAGCTTTCCTGACCAAGTTTGAGAACAGTACAAATCTGCAGGTATAAACATAAATATTTAGAATGAAATTTGACTGCATGAGCATTTAGCAAAACAACAGCAGTAGGTTTCCTCCTAAGGCCCATTATCTCCCCAGTCAGGAGCTTTAAACCAGGCTTACAGCTCCAGGCATGAAATCCAGCCTATAGAACAGACATAGCCAATCAGAAAGCAGTTGGTTACTTTAGTAACAATAAGCCCCTGTTGCACCAGTGGACATGTAGCATAGCATATCTTGCTAGCAGGTCGTTATTGTAGCCTGCAGAATCCAGTGCTTTGAAGACCATTGATATCTTTTCTTTCCTAGCTGCCAGCTCAGCACCTTCTGAAAGTCTGAAAGCTACCTAGCAATGAGAGAGCTTCCTGTTCAGTTCAGGGTTGGTTTTGCTGTTTTACATCCAAAGTCAGCACTGTCCTCAGCAGCAGGGTCTTACCATCTAGTTACAGCAGGCAACTAAGAACAGAGGCAATAGTGTATATTGTTTGGGTTACCTCTGGGGCTTCCCTGATCAATAACTCATAGGAAAGTTTTGAAAGTAGTTTAAGCTAATGAAATATTAATTGGTAATATGTTAGTTAAATTAGGCTTACATATAGTGGGTTACTGTGAAATCATTAAAAATAATATGTAAGTAAAAGTAATTATTAGAAAGACTTGTGACTTGCTGTATATTTTGCCTTAGGTTTTGAATGACCAGCTTTCCAAAAAGTGTTCAGAGCTAACCAGCATGCTTCAGGTTGTTAAAATGGAAAATTCCAGAATTATTGCTGAACATCATGCTATTTTGAAGGTATTCTTTTGACACTCAAATTTTATTTATTTATTTATTTACTTGTTTATTTATTTATTTATTCCTTTGTCTTCCTTCCTCCCTCCCTCCC